TGAAGTTGGCTTCGCTGTATTTCGCTGTACGATGATGATGATTGGTATACTCAATGATGATGAGTGACGCGAAGGAACACAAAGAACTGGTATCGGTTAAAAGCATGAACTTTCACGTCCATAATATAGAATGGTTGCTACACTGTATGGGCCTTGCGTCAAATTAAAAACATCTGGGCCCTTTTCTCCTCTATCTTATTGCCACTCTGATAGCCTGACATAGCATAAGGAACAAACGACCTTGTCTCAGCTTCGCTCTCACTTCTGGTACTGGACACTTTTGTTTCGGGATCTTGCAACCACGTTTTGTTCGACGCCGAGGAAACTCACTCATTTTAAACGTGAACCTTTTGGTCCGATATTTTCCGCTCCACAGATATACACAATCTATCTGGACCATTATCATCTTTGCTTTCCTGGTCACCCTTTTGCTTGCCTCTCGTATTCCGCGTAAGATCAGCTTTCTGTTCCGTACCAACAACTTTTACACTATACCACTGATCACCTCATAAAGCTCCGATTTGCCTGATATTTAAATTGTCGTCGATGCGAGAAGGAAAATTGCCAACTTCCTTCTATTTATGACCGAGCTCGACGTACGAACCATCACTGACCTAACCTAATTGGTAGTCGTTATATCACTGTCGAACAGTCTCTTCTTTATCCCTGTTACTACCTTGAACTCGTCTCGGCCACTCCTCGTTGGTACCACATACCAGCAGCACGTCACTGCTATAAAATATGTGCTCCACAGAGCTCTAGTCCTAGCTTTTAATCTTTTCCTAGGAACAATTGCCGTCTTACTTACAATAGCATTTTTAAATGTAGAGTACAACGGTTAGCCAAAATTCCAATAATTTTATCACTTAAAGAAAACAGTAAAACAAACCTGTTTTCAAATGTAAGTTCCCGAAGTGGAAAGTTAGGGCAATTTATTATACTAACTGCCTATCTACATTGGTTCCGGTTGATTGGCTTCACGAAAACGACAAATTATTTTCCAAACTGATCAACCAAGCTGTTTAAAAAATGTTCAAACAACGTTGACTTTTGATAGAAAACTAAACATCAAGTGATCGATTTCTTCGATCGCTACCTCTGTGCTGGATGATCTCAGAACCATTACTGCGGATGCCCAATAGTACACTCCGTGCGAGTCCGCCAAACGACAGCAAATGAAGAGTTTGAAGAATAACCACGAACAGTCGTGGGTGACAAAATGGAGGCTGGAGAAGGCTGTAGTTATGGGCTCTTCAACCTAATCCTCATTAATCGATGGAATGGACAACCGAAAAAGACAGCAACGAAAACTGCAGCCCCGCAGTGTAAAGCGAATGATCGCATAAACTGAAACGATTATTTTGATACTACAATATAAACCGAAGTTGAGTAAAATTTTCATTGGGCACAGGAAATCGCGGAAACCAAAGTGAAAAGGAATCTTGAAAGTGGAAAACTTACTGGGGATGTGGGACACAGGACGCACTTTCAGTGAAGATCCCATAACCAAGACCAAGTCTGCTTCCTTTACATCGGAAGCCAAGGTGTTGTGGAACTCGCTGGATAAATCTTCACCAAAAAATACAATATCCGGCTTCAGCACGCCAAAAAAAGCAGCACACGACGAATTTACAGTCTGACGGTTGGTTGTGTGGTCACCCGTTTCGTTTGTTATTGGATCTTTCTCTGACAATTGCGGTGAAGACAGTGTCCCGTTCGTTGCAGATGCGATCTCTTTGGCTTCTTTCGGACGACATCGAGGACAGTACGGGATTTTTTGGGCAAATATGGCGTCTTTTATTTGGATGCCAGGTACGCGATATTTACACGATGTGCAACTCGCTGAGGCAAATGAGCCTATATTAAGAAGATAGTAAACAGTGGATTGTTTAAGAGAAAATCCGGTGGAAAAGTACCATGATAAACATACTCAGTCAGATGTTGTCTTCGGATTAAACGCATCGAACCACACACCGGTAAGCCTGTGATACCAAACATTAGAACGACGCAAAGCTGTCCCCAAAACTCAACCTGGTCAAAGTCAAAGCGCCCGGAACAAGTGATTAATCGTACCACAACACCGGCAGTGGATCGAAATCAGATTTCTACCGAAATGCATGCCAATGGGTCATACCTTAGGCGTGTATTCTAGGTAAACTAGTATGCCGAAAACCAAGAGACGTCATAAATGTAGACGTGTGCGTAGCCTCATTTCAATAACGATGGACTGATGATGCCGTCAAAAACAAGGTAAATTCAAATCAGTTCAGGAATTGGTATATCAATTTTATTGGGAAAGCAGGCAGATATAAAGCTCGGATTTGTGTTTGTGTGGGGGAGGAGATGGAGAGTGGGTCTACGTATTCTGGATAACCAAGTTTGTTTGATTAGTCAATACAACAACAGGGCAATATTTCTGAGGATCGTTAAGGAGCAATACCACTAACAAGTGTATGACCGAAGATTGACGTCAAAAAAACTTGCCATCAAACAGGTAACGATTGTTTACTTTGCTATTTCGAACTCAGGAGTCCCAGATCCTTTTCTTCCCCAGCAACGGATGGAGAAGACTCATCAAGTCCAGAGGTGTTATATCTTTTGGGGCGATTGATTTTATTCCAATACCTCTGGAAACCGATCACTGCCGTAGTGAATGAGTAGATACCAACTGACAGATTTCCTGGGCTTTCGTCCCACTAAGCCACAGCTATCCTATCGTTAACTTGCGTAGTTCGTTACTCCTAGTACGATGGCTTAAATTATCGGTTCTGGTAGCCGAACAGTAGGCCTTTATGAAAAACTAATTAAACTGTTCAACACACTGAAGTGCAATCAGGTGTTATCACTTTCAGTTTTCGAGATTAGGCTGCTGTGTCTGGTCCAAACTCGGCAACAAACGCAATGGTGCATCGACAACTCGTTCCTCTATCGTATTTCTAACATGTCTGAAGGAAACTTGTGGACCGTCAAAGGGCGTGTCACATTTGTTGCAGTCATTTGGATCCGAATCGTAAGTGGAGTTTTCAAGGATTAAATAAGCTCGTCCCCGTAACTTCGTTCGAGTTGGAAAGTATAACCTAGTGGCTTGGAAATAGAATAGCAAGTTGAGATGACACATTCAAATCCCAAAGAAGCCCGTTGCTGTGATCAGTACACAGATCGTAGGGGGAAATTTGTTTTCCGTGAGAACATTCGNAAGCCATGAGAATCACATTTATATAAGAAACTGACGGAGGTGATGAGATGGGGTCAAACAGTCGAGGTCAATTAAAAACAGCAGCGGAGTTGAAGGGTCAAATTTCTCTAGTTTGAACACGAACGGATTTCGTAATCGTTGGCAATTGCTTCGGGTCATCATTTCGGGCATTTGTGATGTGGTCCAATTTCGGCTGTGGCTTGAAAACAAAGGCACTGAAAACGTTCATCCAAGATCTCTGTTTTGATATAATACATTGTTGGAGTGCCCAAAACTCCCTCGAGTGAAGTTCGGATAGCTATGTAAACCGACTAAAAAAGAGCATCGGGTTGACTGTTTTTTGCCGCTCATCAGGAATGCATATTCGGAAAGCAAGAATTGCTGTAGACTAAACGAAGTGATTCGCACATGCACTCTTTTGGATAAGCATTGCAGATTAATCCTTGATGAGAGCAACAAATGAAACTGACTCGATACTTCAGGTGGCAATTGCTCAATTGCAAACTGTATATTTCAGACCATGGCTGATTTACGTTTTGCGGATGCAGTTTTTATCTATCTTCTTACTAATATTTAATGATCATTGAAAGGGTTTCATTATTCTGGCAGTTAGGTAAGAAAAAGCAAATGGAGCAGGAAGAAAAAACTAAGCACTATGATCGCTCGGTCGGATAAACAAAGAATCGCTTCCCAAAAGCATTCACTTTATGGTATTTTGTGGACCCTTTGTGTCATTTAGAAAAGCGGAACAACTTTCCAAAATGGGGACGTAACACGACCTTGAAAACGGATGGAACAAGCACACCTGTAGCAAGCATTCCACAACAATTGTTACAATGACTGTCACCAAGGTCAGAAAATAGACATAATTATCACACTGAAGGTCATTTTCTGCACGAAGGACACTATCGAAAACTATTGATATGCCCGTCCGCTTACTGAACGGAGTGAACACTAACTAGTGCGCACGTGGAGATTAGTTAGTTGATCGGGCGACAAAAGCTCAGCTTAGTGCATCCAAATTAGAACAACCTCGATTGGAGAATCAGCACAGAGCAGGTAGACGGACATCGGTCGCTTCTCGTCTGACTTTTACCCGATTGTCCTAACGATGAGTGGAACGACTGATCCTGTTGGTGCGGTTAATTTTCATTAAACATGTACACAGCATTGGACAATCGCAATGAGATAACTGATAAAACGACAACAAAAACCTACCGTGACACTGAATAAGTCTGGTAATTCCAGCAGCTTGTTCAAGAGTGTCGATATTTTGCGTGTAATTTCGCAGCAGCTTATTTTTAGCCTCCAACAAAGCGACAAAACGATGGGTTAAAGATGGAGTGAATTGCCCCGGAAAGATTTCCTGTAAGAAATGGGAGGGGGCGGGGTGGCACAAACGAATCGATTTCAAACCAAAGTTTTGTGAAATAGAATCAAAACCGAAAATTGCAATAAATATATTATATTTAGTTGCGTTTAATGGGGGACTTCTGCGTGAAATTTATACACGAAATAAGACACCGGAATCAACATCGACGACAGATTAAATCAGCAATACCAATGCTGATAGCAATTGATCATGTATAGACTGGGTGAATCTCCCAAGCACCAAATGAAACACATTTCAAATGCTAAAGCTTTCAACATTTATGATGTTAGGATAGGTAGTTTTTAAACGTTTCCCAGAAATAAACCAAACTGATTAACATCGTTCGTAGGGAAAGTGTATTTGGTAAACTGAGCAACAGGTGTTTGAGGTAATCAAGAATCAGGTAGGTAAGAATTCTGCTATTTTTAATTGAGCATCGTTGAAACTAACAACAGGTGTTGGTGCCTGGTGTTTGGTTATGGGAATCAACAATTCTATATGGTAGGCAAGTTACTCAGCGGGACGATAGCGAAGCCACTTATCACCAAATCAAAGCTGCTTTGGTTCGCTTATCATACAGCAAACATATTTAGTAGTTTTTCGTCTATATTATCATTGACTGCGCTCGTGTGATCCGGTTTTGGTTGCTGTTTTTTGACTGCCTGTTTAGTCAACCAAATGAGATCAGTGAAACTATACGAGAAGTCCGGCGTGGTACTGAGACACAGATATGGGGGTGAACGTAAACTAGATGTGTGTGTCCTTCATATACTTCAAAAGAGATCCGCAGGTAAGGGAATTTTCCTTCAGTGTATTTCGCTGAGTGACGCCGATGTTATTGCTAAACTCTCCTTAGATTATTGCAAAATTTGCAAATGGTTAGGGTCAAGTTGAGATCCCACATTTTTCACTCCTCGTGGAGTTGTTGTTTGTGTTGCACTTAATAATTCTGACATAGTGTTACTGGCATATGAAATTGACAACCATACACAACCTTGGCTGTAAAAAAGTGGCAATATGAGCATTGGATAAGGACCAAGGTGCACTGAAATAAACCAGATGAATTACTTATCCGATTTCTAGCCTATGTTGACACATTACAACTTTCATGAAAGTTGCCACAACATTTCATTTCACACTAACACTCGATTGGTTCGACCAGTGTTAGGTCTCAATTGCGGTCCATAATGAATTAGCCCGACCAGGTTATTCATCATCGTACTTTAATCATTTCATCTCACGAAATTTAAAGCAGTGCATGGACCAGTACCGTACAGTGAGGTAGAGTGATTCAGTTCAGTTCTTACAACCATTAACCATGCACGTTCGTGCGCCGGTTTGGTTACCCATTTGGATAAAACAGTAGAATGGAGATGAGAATGCTGAGAGCAAATTCAAGCGAAAGATGGGGACTTTATATAAACTGAAGTTACAAGAATAACGAGTGGGTGCACGAGCTCCTCTGCTTGCGACATCCAGCCATATCACNCTCAGTGTCTCGAATCATCAGTGACCATAATCTCGGGGTCCCCAGCCAGGGAGCCTAACGGGACCTATGTGACCCAGACGCCTGGTTAGGGTTTTCAAACCCTCATGCCAGGTCTTAGCTTGGCCACCCTCGACTTTATTCCACCCATTACCTGTCTCGGCAAACATCGCTCACCGTGGCAAACTATTTAGTGATATGCGTAACACATGCCCCAACCAACGTAATCTATGGAGGTCAACCTCTTGATCCACTGGGCAACTGCGGTTGCCTAAAACTTTGCGCCTGATCTCCGCGTAGAGTTTTAGGTAGGTAGAGTGGTGCGAACTTCACCTGTCCCTTGCAAGCTAATGTTGTACATAAATTAAGTACAAATGAGGAACGAGTCTGTTTTGAGGGAAAAGAAAGAAAACCATTACCATCAAAACATAACAGTCTAACCATCTCTCCACGAAACCTGACCAAATAAGAAACGATAAAGAAATTGCCGCCTTTGTTAGTTCGCCTCCATGGCCTTTGGTGTTTCCAAAAAACAGCTATTGAATTATTTGGACCCCAACCAAGAACATGGGAAAAATCTATTTCACCTAATCTCCCCGTGCATTGCTTCAGATCTCATCTGTTGACCAACTGTTACCAACTGCAAAAAGAGGCAATGCGGTAGACCACCATAGGGAACCAAAAAAGCGAGGCTTTTCAATCTGAATTCGGTGCGATAACGAATTTTACACCACAACACCTGACAAAATGCTTGCCACATCCTATCAGCGCCAAACTACCAAAGCATTGATGGTTGAAAATTTCTAGTCCTACGCGCAATATTAGTTTTCACTACTGCAAAGCACAAGTGACCGAACGGTAGCATAGTACACGAAATGCCGCAGGTATCTCAGCCCAGTGTACGGAGTTCAAGTATTGGTGTGCGGTCATCGCTTTAAGTAGACTACTGTCATTAGTGACGCAATTACCCATATCTGACAGTCTAGCTTCACAGCATCAGTAGGCGACGTTCATCCCTGCAGCATCACTTCATACTTCGAAGGTACGAAGGGTATGGCGAATAAATGAACGGAAATGGTTAAAATTTAAAGTGCGTCTACCAGCTCTTCCGTATATTCGGACAGATGATGTAGTTACCGTACTCTAAACTAGTCTTTTGCCGGCTGTTCATTCAATACCAACACCACAGAAGGTATTTCATGAAGTCTTCAATTTGTCCACAAACAAAGAAATAGTGAAATAGGGCACCGTTGACGAGCACCACTGCTAATTTCAAACAATCTGCTTAGATCGAAGTTAACAGTCGCAAGTATACTGACTTCGGTATGGTGACATACTTCTAGGGCGTTCCTATGCAAGGAAGCGAACCGATGAAGTGGTGATATTTGAAGCATTGAGTTCCCTTTATCCATTTCATCAAAACAGAAAGAAGACAAATGTTGCGAGATGTTAACATTGCGTTTAATCTTCTCAGTCACTGACTTAAAACAAACAGGCACATATATAGCACATCGGATGAATCAATTTTGGTGAACAAACGTGTACAAGCATACAATGATTACTAAATTTAGAAGTAGAAGGTCAGCTCCAC